GTGTGGAGGGCTATGGGGGAAGAACACCACCACCAGGGTTCCCCATCCCTCAGGACTCAGCAGGGGCCCGGTGTCACGCCTCCTGAGGGAACAAGTACAACCTCCCGGCGAGGAAGCCTCCTGGTGAGGAAGCTCTGGCTGGGAAAATGGGTCCCATTCTAGGTGGGTGTCTGGGGCAGGTCACTTGCCCTCTGTGGCCTCAGTTTCCCCATCTGTGAAATGGAAGGCTTTGCAAGGTGAGCACAAGGTGACTTCTAGCTCAGAAAGCCAACTGGCTGGTTGTAGAAGAGGGTCCCAAGACCAGAGGGGGAAGGGGAGGGGACAGCCCACGGGACCCTCCAGACCGGCCAACTGGGCCCTCTCCACCGAGCAGCCAAGTGTCCCCAAAAGCCCCCGCGTCCAGGGCTTGAGCCTTGAGGCAGCAGCATTCAGAGGTATGCAGATTGTGCGGGTCTTAACCCCAGGGAGAGTTCACTGGCTGAATGTGCTGGTAGAAGGTGGGCCCTGATTGGAGGAAAGGGGTCCCTGAGGGCCCATCGTGGTCCCACTCCTTCCCCTGACTCTATCTCTCTTCCCTCCTGGCCACCATGAGGGGAGCCGCTCCCCTCCGCCATCTTGTTTCTGTCTTGGATCTGGCTGACCATGGACTGGAACCTGTAAACCTTAAGCCAAAATAAATATGTTCTCCTCTAAGTTGCTTGTCCTTTGTATTTTGTCACAACAATGGAAACTGACTAACATGGACCCTAAACCAGCCGTCTCGACCCTCCCAGGCTGGCCACCCCCCAGCCAACTAATCACTGTCCCCCACACCACTCCACTGGACCCGCAAGATGGGCCAGCTGGACACCCCCAAACCAGCCACTGAAGCCTCCTCTGGCACCTTAATCACAGCCCCCAAGCCCGTGCCTGGGCCCCCCAGACTGGCCAGCAGGACTCCAGTGCTGATGTCTGGGGCATGCCGGATTAAATAAAGCACCAGTTTCAGCACTTCATGTTCTCTGTGCTTGGGGCACTGGAGGCGCTGGGGTCCCACGGAGGCTGCACCAGCTCCTACGTGACGCTGTGACCTGGACCGGCAGTCAGGCCCAGCGGAGTCAGAGTAGGGGTCCCTGGAGCCCAGCACCAGCAGGCGCTCCGGAAACAAGCTGGTGAGGGGGCCTCGCTCACCCCGAGGGCACAGAAGATAGGATCGCTTGCCCAAGGCCGGGACTGCAAGGGGCGAGAGATGGCGAGGCCCCTGTGCAGGCGCACTCGGAGCGCTGAGCCGGGCACAGGTCTCCTGATGGACGGCAGGACCTGCGGGGCCCACAGCCCAGAAGAGCCCGGGGCGAAGCCTGACAGGCAGAGCTGGGACGCGAACCGCGGAAGGGCCTTGGAGCCGGGTATGCGCTGTGGCTGGGGGATGGGAGCCCTGGGGCCGTGTGCGGGCTGCGGCAGCGGGCAGAGGTCTGGGTGCGGGCTGGGCCCCTGCTCCTCGAGCCTGGGGGCCCGGGGAGTGGGAATAACAGCACCCATCCCAGGATTTCACTCCAGCCAGGGAGTCTGACCTTGTCAGACAGCGCATGGCGGAGTGACCAGGTTAAGGGCCTCAAAGTGACACCATGCTGGAACAGGGACAGACATCTTTGGAGGAGAGGGAGAAGTCGGAGGGGGAGGAGGCCGTGAGTGTGGGGCAGGGGCTGGAGCGAGCGGCCACGGTGCTGGACCAGCCCACCTGGCTTCAAATCCCGCTTGGCTCTAAGCTGCACGGCACCTGGCAAACACTCCCTCTCTGGGCCTCACCCGGGACGGGACTGCTCTGGAGGTTGTCTTGGAGACAGACGAGTTAATCGCATAGAGTGCACAGAGCCGGCCTGGACCAGACTAAGCCCCGGGAAGAATTAGCTATTTATTCTTATTATCCGGCCCAGCCACTCCGATGTCTGGAATTTATCCCAAAGAAGTAATACTAATAAAACTCAGCAAGCCAGGACGTTCAACATGATTTTATCTGCCAAAGCAACAGGTTGGAAACAACTCCAGGACTAACTCTTGGCAGAATGCTAGAGAGAAAGACGAAGAACCGCTACTTCGGGAGGCAGTGCTCGCTCTGACACAGGCAAAGCACAGCAGGACAGAGGGCACGAGGCCGCTCCGCGGCCTGGGTACGGCCCGGGGCCTGTCGTCGTGACCATGAGCCGCTGAAGGGGCTGGCGACAGTCAGGCTCCAGCGGGCAGGGGGCAGGGCTGGCCAGCACAGGGCGCAGCGGCTCTAGGCCTGGCTCCGAAGGTGACTCCCTCCCGCCTGGGATTTTAGCCTGGAGGGGTACAGTATGCTTCCCAGAGACTTCTGGGGTCACAGCATCTCCCTCCACCTCCCTGGTTGAGCCGTCTTGGGCTGGTCCCTCTGTGAGGGATGCCTTGACCCAGCTGCCAAGGGGTGGCCACAACCCAAGTACCCATCAACAGAAGAATGAAAAAGAAAACATGGTCCATCCGTGCTACAATGTGGAATTTTGGAGGGGAGGTGGGGAGGTACCGGGGATCGAACCCAGAAACCTTGCACTGAGCTATATCCCTAGCCTCCTTTTTACCATTTTGAGACAGGGTCTTACTAAATCCCTAAATTACCCAGTCTGAGGTGGACCTTTTGATCCTCCTGCCTCAGCCTCCCAGAATGCAGGGACTGCAAGTGTGTGCGACCATGCCTGGCTGGGTTTCATCTTAAATGGCCCCAAGGTCCACGTGTGGAAGGCTTGGCCCCAGCCTGCAGCACCGCTGGGAGGTGGTAAAACCCTCAGGCGGTGAGGCGGAGTGGGAGGAAGGTGGGTCGCAGGGGGCGCGCCCTTGAAGGGAGGCTGGGACCCCCCCTTCCTCCCTCGCTCTCTCCACTTCCTGCCCCCTGCCCCCCGTGCTCCTGCATGATGCCCAAAGAGCCAGGGCCGAGCCACCAGGAAGGCAACTCTGAAACTCTGAGCCAACATAAACCTGTCCTCCTGCACTGCTGCTCCAGCCGTCCTGTCTCGGCACTCGAAGCTGGCAAAGCTGCCCTGCGTGGAATACTGTTTGGCCCTGAAAAGGGACACGGCACAGACACAGGCCGCCACGGCTGGATTGGGCCTGTCCCCCAGCTCACGTGCTGAAGGCCGGGGCCTGGTGCTGTGTTCAGAGATGGGAGCGATGGGGCCATGCAGACTGGAACTTCATCAAGGGACGGCTCCACCGACCAGTTCCCAGCTGACGGCGTACAGGGCGCGGCGCGCAGGACACTCCAGCGGGGGCCCCCGCTGCAGTGTCTGTTTGAAGGGTCTCCCACCCCTGGTTCTCTCCTTCCTGGCCACCATGAGGGGAGCAGCTCTGCCACGCTACCAAGACGCGCTGCCTCGGCCCAGGCGGGGAACGCGCCACGTAAGGACCCTTCTGAAGCCAGGCGCCAAGACAAGCTCAGAGCTGCTCTCAGCTCTGTCCCAGCGACAGGGCGCCGGCTCAACCCTGAAGCCCGGGGACCTGACACCAGGCGAAAGACCCCAGGCACAGAAGGACCACGCAAGCCGCCTAGAGAAGCCACGCTTAAGAGACGAGGGCACAGGGTGTGGTCAGGCTGGGGCAGGGGACAGCAGGGACACGAACGTGCTTGCGGCAATGGACGGTACACTCGGCGGGGGAGGGGGCAGGCTCCACCAGGTGGCCTCTGTTGCATGTGACATCTGTGTCTGCATCATTAGATGTCCTGCATCGCCTGTGTGCCCTGCACTGGGAAGGCCCATGGCCATGGCACTCAGGATTACAACTCCCGGCCCCGGGGTGCTGTTCACTCCCAGTCCTCGGGGGTGAGGCCTGGATCGGAGCGACCAGGGCCTCTTCAGCAGATAACACTCCTCTTCCCTCCTGGGACCACCGCTCCCTTTGTGCACGCAGCGGTGGGGGAGCTGTCAATCAAGAGGCTCTGCCTTTCCTGTACTGAGGGGCAAGTGTAAGACCTCCGCTGGACCAATCAGATGCTCTTGAAGCTGATTCCTTCTGCAGTGGGAACCTAGGGTGGGCTCTTCCCCCTGGCAGGAGCCTCCCTGCTTTTTATTTCCTTTCTCCTGCGGCATCCCCCACTGCTGGGCTATTCCGTCCTTAGCCGTGCTGACCAGCCTCACTTCCCACAGGCGGCAACCCAAACCCCTAAACCTGCCCAGAGCTCCAAGACTGGGCCTCAGAGTGGGTGGGCTGGATGACAGCAGTCATAGCTGTAACAGCAGGGAGCACTGGGGTGGGTGGAGGACCATGTGCCGGGCACTCCTGGCCAACCTCTAAGGCCTGTCATGACCCCATTTTGCCCACAGGGAAACTGAGGCACATATTTCAGGTGTCCTGGTGGTGGCGGTGGCCACGGGGTCTTGGTGGGTGGGTGGTGGATGGGACTTGGTAAGGGGGGCCTGCTGTGGCAGAAGGTGGGGCTGGGGCAGTGGAGTCTGTATTCAGGCCACTGCTGGGGCGCATGGGAGGGACTGAGTGTGGCTGGGGTGGGGTGCTGTCGGCTCCTCGAGTGGAGGGGGCTGCCAGGACCGCTGCGCCTGGACTCCTTGGCCAAGCCGCCCTGAGCTTCAGGCTGGGTAGGCAGTTGGGTGGGATAGGAGGTCAGGTGGGACAGAAGGTCCGCGCTTCCCGCCACCCCCACCAACATCCCTCCGCCATTTTATGTCTTTCTGGAGTTTTCTCTGCTCCTGGCTTTTTCCTGTCCCCTGGCTTGAGGCCAGGCCCCGGGTGTCTTGGGGTGGCACCCTCGCCGTGCCTGGCTCCCTCGTCCCGGCCTCTCCTTCCCTCTCCACCTGGGATTCTCTCTGACGGGGAACTGAGGCTCCCCAGCACTGACTTTCCAGTGGTCAGAGCCGGCGGAGGCTCAGCGGCAGCATTTACAGAGCACCCCTTTCACACGGAGCTTGGGGCGGTCACCCCCTGCAGTCCCCGTGCCTGCCCTCCCCGCTCCCTCTCACCCCGCCCCTGAGAGTGGGGCAGGGCCTCCGCCTTACCTTTCAGGCAGGACAGCTTAAGCCCCATGTTGGTGCCGCTGGGGGCCTGTGGAGAGAAGACAGCGCTCAGAGAGGGAGCGTGGCCGGCCTGACCCCGGGCCTGCTGGGCGCAACAGGGGAAGGGGCAGGGGCTGCTGTGAGGTCACAGTGCCTGCTGACTGCACCTGGCTGCACCTGCTCGTAAATGGAGTCTGCACTGGCGGAAAACCTCCCAGGCGGGTGCCTCAAAGCTAAATACACGGGAGCCTGGCACCCCGTGAGCGTCAGGCCAAGGCTGTAGCTCCGGCTGCTGGGAAGAACCAACACCACCCAGCCGTTCCTGGCAGGGGTCAGAGAACAAAGGCTCGGGGACAGAGGCCCCCTGGCCAGGCCACCAGGGTCGGTGCACTTCCTGTTGCAAGCATGGGGCCTCCTCCTCCACACAGACTCACGGAGACCTAAAGAACTGCTCAGGGAAGGGTGTGTGTGGTCCCCAGTTCACAGGAAATTAGCATCATCCCGAGCCATGCTCCATGAGTCCCTGCAGCCGTGAGGCCTTAGAACCCCGAGTCACTGATAACTAAAGGTGCGTGCGCTCCTGACCCTCCATCCCCCCGCCCTGTGAGGTAGGCTGCGCCCCAGCCCACAGATGTGGAGAGCAGGGCTCAGCAAGGCGGTGTCTGCTGCTCTGGGCCACTGAGCTTCCGGGGAATCGTGGATCAGACCAGGAGCCACCCTGGTGCCCAGGCCAGAGCCACAGTGCCCACCAGGAAAGGAGGACTTACTTCCCCGTGGAGGGTGCGCCCCAGTGCCTGAGAGGTGGCTGCAGGCCACGCTGTTCCTTCGTGTCTGTAGGCTGCTGTGCACCAGCCCCTGAGCCAGGCTGGTGGGGGCACATGGGGGTGCCATGATCCCCCGGGGGCCACTCCGGCCCTGCAGACACCCTGAGATGGCTCAGGGCCTGTGGTGCCCCCGCCCGCCTCCCCCACTGCTGGGGAGCCTGCATCCACTCCCACACGTCTCCAGCCTCCTCACTCCCCCAAAGAACTTCTCGATCATCACCAGTGCAGGCGGACATCAGGCCACAGGGGCCCTGCACCCGGATCTGCAGTCAGAGCAGCAAAGAGCGAACCCCCTCTAGAGGCCACGTGGGTGGCAGTCCCTGAGCACGGAGGATGGCACTGGCCAGGTGGTGGAAGCCAGGCCCAGCCTCCCTAAAGGCAGCAGGACTGAGCCACACAAGGACCCGCAGCCCAGGCAGCAGAAGTAGACGGTGCAGGGTCGGAGGAAGCTAAGGGGATGGCCCACTGGGGGGCCCCTGAGGCTGTGAGTGCAGGGCACGGCAGGCAGGGTGAAGCCACAGGCGAGCTGGCCCTGGGGGCCTCGGAGGCCAGGGGGAGAGAAGGGGGACGGGGGCTGAGCCTGGGGAGCAGGTGTAGGCCGGTGGTTGGAAGGGTGAGGCCGTGCAAGCCCTGGCGCTGTCCCAAGGGCAGTCAATGGACTCAGCTCCAGCTGGGCCCACAGCGGAGTCAGGGACATCAGTCTGCTGCTGTTTGGACGGCAGGGAGGAGGGAGTCGGAGGAGGGAGCAGAGGTGCCCGGCGCCTCCCTGCTCCCCAGGGCCTGGGCGCCCCTGGGGGCTTGTGCAATGCGGTCTCAGGCTGTCTCGGCCCTGCTGACCCAGAATCTGCACTCTCACCACAGCTGACCACAGAAATGAACCACAGGGAGCTTACAAGACCTGTGCTTGCCTGCGCCCCAATTCGTGGGAACTGGGCTGGGGTGTGGCTTGGCACTGGGATCTCTTAAAGCTGGGGGTACCGACATGCAGGATGAGGTCCGAGGCTTCCTACGGAGGAAGAGGGCTGGGCTGCAGGCAGCAGAGCCCAAGGGCAGGCCTGTGGGGACAGCCGGCACCTTTCCAGGGCCCTCGCCGCGTGCCAGCACCGTGTGGAGCCGCTCTGTGTGCGCTGCGCTCAGTCCATCCTTGCAGTGTTCCTGCGGGGCGGGGCTTGCTCCTACCCTTATTGCTCGGGCAGGAGACCAGAGAGTTAGACTGCACAAGGCCATATGGGCTACAAGTGGTAGAACAGGGACTCAAACTCAGTATTTTGGACTTGGGAGCCCGTTTTCAACCTCCAGGCAGGCCTGGGTGCCTAGGAGTCCCAAGAGGCACAGAGCTTCAGGAGTGGGTGCGTGGGTCATGCTGGCCTCCTCTCCTCCTGGAGTTGGACCTCCATCCTACAGCCCAGGATGGGCCCCTCATCACACTGACCCTGTGAGACTACCCCACCAAAGATGTCACCAAGCTACCCGTGTCTGGGACCCATCTGTGTGAAGACTTGGGTTCGGGGCTGGTGTGTAGCTCAGTGGCAGAGCGCCTGCCTACCATACACAAGGGCCTTCTGGAGAAAGCTGGTTTCAGCCCAACAACAGGTTGAGTGCACCCCTCAGCCCAGGGTTTGAAGACCAGCGAGCTGTGCTGAAGGCCTCACAGCTGAGCCAGGTCTGAAGCCCGCTGCACATCCTGACAACCAGTGGCGGGGCACAGGAGGCAGGGCCGGCAGTGGGGCGGGGTCTTGCAGGAGCTGGAAGACAGAGTTCACCCCACATTTCTGTTTGTTTTCTAAAGTAATGAAATGGCCAAAAGAAAAGCCGTACCTTGTGGACAGCGTGGGGTCAAGGTTAAATTTCCTGGCTGTGATCACTGTAGTGTGTTTTGTAGGGGACCGTCCTGCAGCCCTGAGGTCTAGGAGACACGAAGATGTGTGTTTGGCCAAGGCTGAGCATTTCCCACACTTAACTCTCCAGCAGTTCAGCAAGAAAACAACGGTCCGCACATGTGCAGAGGGGAGGGCCCAGCACATGGGCTGCCTGTTCAGCTCCGATGAAGGAAGAGCAGGCAATTCGGACTCTTAGAACTCTTCTGAGTTGGAAGAATGAAGGGCTGGGCATGGCAGGGTGCACATCTATAATCCCAGCACTCAGGAGGTTGAGGCAGGAGGATCTCAAATTTGAGGCCAG